TTTGGGCGACATCACCAGGGCGCGAGGAAGCTGACTGGTATCGACGACGCCTGGGAGAGTATCGATGGACTCTCTCGGTGAGCTCAAAACCTGGCGAAGGCACAGGCTTGACTGAGTTTGCCATGACAATGTTGGATATCTCGACGGGTTTGCTCAAACAGCTACCAGAAAAGCCTTCAATGAGTCGAAACGGAAGCCACGCTGATCTATCGGTTTCTGCGCCGCCTATTTTTAGCGGCGGTATTTTGGACAGTCTGGGTAGCAGGCCCACCGCAGCAGAAATGAGTGCCATGCGAAGTCCACGCACCGATGACGAGGAGGAAATGGAGGAGATGGACAGTAGTGACGACGACATGGAAGATTATCCAACACGGATGTAGGGCTGGAGGGGGATGGCATACACGACACTACAAAAGAAGAAGGGTTCGATGTTCCGATGATTGAAGATTGGGAGCGATTTGAAGGTATTGTTTGGAATACGCAGCCACAGTTCACATCTTTCGGGCGTTTTTGTCGTTTCTGTATTGTGTTTTGGTACGATTACGGAGTTGGATTGGCATTGGCATTGGCATTGGCATTGTTGTCATCCTTTTAAGGTCTTATCACTGATCATTAAGGTTTGGGACGAATGATACCTAGGTTTCCTTCTCGAGGCCCCTCTGGAAGGGTTCGAGACATGACGGGATGGCATGTAAGCGCATATGAGATTCAAGCATGGAGATTTTTGTGTTGTGCGAAATTAGTTCAACATGGTCTACTTAGAATGGATTGTTATGAGTTACGTATAATACGAGAAATGGCATTACTTGTGAAGAAGTTCTTCAATTGTCGTCTTTACTTTTTACTCTGGAAAATTACAATGTCGTCTTTTCTTGCAGTAGTACTAGATTCATGAAAGTATTTTGCTGGCCAAAAGATGAGCAGCATTTTATAAATTTTCCTTGGGGATCCCTTTGTGATATCGCGTCTCAGAGATACATGGTGACTATGATAGGTTTTGTTCCAGTGAAGGCTTCCCTTGTCAATAGCTGTTCGGAACCGTTCTTAAGCCATGCAGGGGAAGAAGAACAACTGATCTAATGATATCATATCTACCGACATGATGAACCCTGAAGAAACACTTGTTTGTCGTTCTAGATATCGAGATACACTTATAGTTACGGTTTATCTTTCAACGCTCTTCAATCGTTGTCCCACATTTATACCTGTAGCCACAGCACTAGCCACCGCCTAGAAATAAAGAAAAAGACTAATTACCCGCCACGTCAACCTTGAGTTTGTCTCATCTGCAACAAACAGTTATACGTCTACGAGCTTCAGGTGCAGGCCATTTGAACCGCAAGACCGGATCGTTCGCGTTTATTCATTCTTATACTCTTCTTATTTGTACATTCTTTTACGTTCAATCTATCCCTTAACTCTCAATGGCTTCCCAAAAGGAAGGCCAATTGGCCAAGGCGACTGGCGCGCCTGAGGGCTTCACTCCCGAACGGTTTGAGAAGGAACTCAAGGACCTTGCGGCAAAGGCCAAGGAGAATACTTTTGCGAAGCGTGCTACTCGACAGGCTGTTGTATACTTCAAGACACTGATGCTCCTGGGCTTGTTGGGCGTCGCCTCGAGCGCGTCGCAACTTAGCTTGTCCCCTATCTATGGCTCCATTCCCGCTGCAGTCACGCACTCGACTGCTCTCAAGGTCGCCTGCTTCATCGGCTGGGCAGGTAATTTGATCCTCAACATGTATCTTCCTCTGTCGACGATGCAGCTTCTTCCGCTTATCGCGCTGAACATCCCGGCTGTTCAGTTTCTCATGGGTTGCTTCACTGATCGCCTTGGCAATTGGTGGGGCCCTCTTCTCATCGAGGGTCTCACTATATTCCCCTTGGCTATTGCTTCAGCGGCTTCCGTTGCTGATATTCTTGAGGACGCGAATCTGAGTGTTCTCCCCAAGTTTTTCGCCGATGCAGCGCCTGGAATCGTCTCTTGGTCTTTGTTCAGACTGTCTGAGAACACGTCAATGGACAAGCTTCAGGGTGTTATTGGCAGCACCTTTGTGCTTACTCGTGTTGGTTTGGAACTTGTTGTGGGAGCCGTATACGCTCTCATGGCACCATCCAAGTACCTTGTTCTGGCCATTCCTGCGCTGTTGCATACTGCAGTTCTGAACACGCATGTCATGACACCCATGGCCACAGAGTCTCTCAACAACACACTCCAGGCTCAGAACTGGACTCTTCTAGACCGCCGCGAGTCATTGACTGGCTACGTCTCAGTTATTGAGAGCTTGGAAATGGGTTACCGTCTGATGCGATGTGACCACAGTCTTCTTGGAGGTCAATGGGTCCGTGTTGGCGGCCGAAAGGTGTCTGAGCCTATCTATGGTGTTTTTGTCATGCTCGAGGCTGTTCGTCTTGTTGAGCGGGAGACTCCACTGGCTGACAATGAAGCCAGCGCTCTCAACATGTAGGTGACTACTCAGTTTTTCTTCTTCCGCAACTCACTAACACGATATAGCGGGCTTGGTATCGGAACCACGCCTTCTGCCTTTGTCAGACATGGTATCGATACTACTATTGTTGAGATTGACCCTGTTGTTCATGAGTTTGCTCAGAAATACTTTGACCTCCGCGAGAACAACCCCGCTGCCGTTCACGACGCGGTCTCGTACACTGCTGATCTGGTCAAGCAATCCAAGACTTTTGACTACATCGTCCATGATGTGTTTACTGGCGGTGCTGAGCCTGTTGACCTCTTCACCCTCGAGTTTCTGCAGGGTTTAGGCGACTTGTTGAAGCCTGACGGAGTTATTGCTATCGTAGGTTATTCGAATATCGGTATTGTGATCATCTACTAACATGTCCCTTCAGAACTACGCTGGTGATTTTGGTCTTCCTACTCCCGCGCTCGTCTACCGCACCATCAAGCAGGTCTTCCCCTCGTGCAGAACCTTCCGTGAGCACCCTCGTGACGAGAAGAACGTTGAGAAGTGGGGGAGCGACTTCACCAACATGGTCATCTTCTGCCGCAAGACTCCCGGAGACATCAAGTTCCGCCGTCCCAGCACCAGTGACTTTCTCAACAGCCAGGTCCGCCGAAACTTGTTGTTGCCCAAGCACGAGATCAAGGAGCAGGTCTTCCTCGATGATGAAGGCACAGATGTCCTCGCCAAGAACGACACCAGCAAGGTGACCAAGTGGCACCAGTCTAGCGCTGCTGGGCACTGGAACATTATGCGCGAGGTGCTTCCTGGTAAGATCTGGGAACAATGGTAAACTGGTCTCATCTGCTCTGCACATACTCTGTACCGTTATGTATATATTTGCCCTGTCTTGGATATCAAGGGTATCCTGTGGATATATCGTCTTGGCCATCATTACATAAATAGACAATTTTACAGTCACTTGTTCCAGCCCGACTGGTAACCATTTTTGCATCCGTTATAGCCTTTATGGTATACTTTTTGCTATCCGTGGGCATGCCGTTTGAGAATTCTGCCAAGTAGCTTGGCATCCCAACCCTAGCCACGGCTTCTTCTACAGCCGTCCATATGAAGTGGCAAACCCCTTGTCCAAACTTTGTCATGAACTATGTAATTGACGCCCCAAGTTCTCCGGTCGTCGTGCCACCTATGGGTATCTTGGCGTTGTCGGGAGCAGTTTTAATTTTGAGAATAACGGTGTAGCGAATATGGGTTTCCAAAAGTAGAAGGTGGCACGGCATTGACGAACATGTCTTGTCGGCACCAACACCTCCCAGGGTCAAGACACAAGCATACAGGTAGAGGTTGTAGATCAAAACATGATGGGGAAAGGCTGCCATGGGATGTTTGAGTTTATGATGGGTGGTGTAGAGGCTAGAGGCCGTAACCATCGAGGTCTTAGATGGTGCTCTTAGTCTTTCTAGGGTAAGTGTATTCAAAATAAAGCGAGCCATTGTGGTGGTTTTGCATATGTCGAATTGCTTAGAATTGAACCTGTTTGTCTATTTATTTGTTTTTTCTTCTACATTTTAGTTTCTTATTTTACTCGTTTTACTCATTGTTTTCTATCAATTTTTTATTGTGCTTGTTACTCCAGTGATATATGTTCAGCCCGTGGTGGTTAATTTCAAACTTGAATTAGTGGATCAGGTAAATGTCCAAAAGTGATGGCTCAGCATGCGATGATTATGTTTATGCAGAACAAATCATTACGTGCTAATTGATTGGATTGTGCGGTTACACCGAGTTGATTGGGGATGTTGACTGGGTTTTTGGCAATGCTACGGTGATCAACCATTGTAGATCAACGGTTTTGCTGCTGGGTTGTGTAACGACAATTACTATTTTACCTAAACAAAGCAACATGCATGTTGAGCGTTTGGCTTATAGACAGAGGCTCTACGAGTATCATTTAATTAATTCTTGAGTTCAAGCCTATGAGAACACACACATTAGAATTTGGGCGTTGGGTAAGGTTATTACTCAAATCCGGGGTATCATGTAGAGTAAGAATTGGCTGCATCTCAAGTGCCTGTGGCTAGTTCGCTTTAGGAAAAAAAAGTCTCCAGTTCTCCTCCCGTTCCTTGTCATTACTCGGGCGCGTTCGGGTTGGGTACAAGTTGAGGCTCCACATGACTTGAAGGCCCCGAGAATATATAGAATTTAGGTAATGTCCGCCTTGTCCAATTCTAAATTTCCTACCATTACCATTGATATTATTCCGTCAACCTACCTGGTTACTCACCTACCTGACTAGGTAGGCAGGTAGGTAGATATTCAATATCCTCGGTAATATGACCATCATGACAGTTAGGCCCAGGGTGCCTGTGAACCTGATTGTCGTCACTGTCAGCCAACAGCATCTCTTCCTTTGCCCCGCCATCTCTTCTCTCGGTCACTGTCCGAGAGAGTGTCTGTCACGTTAATTCATCTGATCAAGAAGAATGACTTTCTTCTCTTTTATTTATTTCTTTTCCCTTTATTAACGGCATCTCCCTTCAATCGAACCAGTTGTTTGAAAATATGGCCTTATTCCCACCGTCAAAAACTCCATCGTCCTGTTTCACCAACCTGGTTTGCCTTCCAAGTTGGGAACCGTTTCCGCTTAATCAGATCCACGGGACCATCCATATCACCTCGCTGTTATAGCAATAGCAAATCTCGCCTCTGCTATTCTTGTCATGCGGCATCAGTGTGCCTTTCAGCTTCCGTTCTAATATACTTCTTCAGTGGATCGTCTTGTATCAAACACCTACCAGGCCTGGTCACATCGTCTCAGTCTAGCCGTAAGAGCCGCCGTCTCCGACATGTCGAGTTTCATAACCAGATATGCTACGTCGGATCTCGACGAAACATCACGATATTCCCAATTCTACCCAATCATGATACGTCTTGCGCCACCAAACAAACGTATACGCGAGTCGGCTCGAACAAAGCCAGTTTGACCCAAGACTATCCTCTGAAACTCGATATCCGTTGCAAGTGCAACTCTGTCTCTTTCTATGCCTCTGCCTCTCAAGTGGCCATGTCCGTCTGTCAAAGATTTTGATGACCTTCCCCATTGTTGCATCGCATTTCATTCTCTCTTTCCTTTCCCTCTTTCCGCCCTCATTCCCTTCTAATCTCACATACTGCTAAAGTATTGTAGATTTGGTGTCTTGGTTGATCCAAGAACGCATTCGTCTTTACCTTTTCTCTTTTCTGTTTTCCTTCCCCCCCTTACTCTCCTTTTCCTAGTATCAATTTTCCCACACACTCGTTTCTAATACTAATGTTGTCTTCATGACGGACTCTACCCGTCAGGCCTTAATCGCGGCCTTTACCTTGTAAGCCATTCATTCAATTACACCAAAGAACCAATATAATAACAAAACAACAGCGGCTTGGTCGCACACGCTGGTACCGCTGCTATCTTTTTTCTCAACAAGCGTACCTCCAAGATCACCCGAGATGCACCGAGGCTGGCCCTCATTGCTTTCCTTATTTCCTCAGCCCTTTGGGCCCAATTACAATTTGGCGCCTTCTTACTTAATACCGACTCGACCTCGAGCTGCCAGGTTATGATTGTCTTTGCATCAACATTCGACCAGTTTGCCCGAGTATGTATGCAACAAAGTTTACTATGGACCTTCAGTGCGTTCAGCCTTGTCTCCCTCACTGAGGTTGGCATCATGCAAGGACTTGTCGTGTTGCGACTTGTCCTCGGAGGCATCTTCGTAGGCTTTCAGCGCCCACAGCTCGAGACTGTCTGCGTGACGATGACTGCGGTTCTACCGGTTGGAATCACAGTCTCTGTCACAGACACTGCTTTCATGGCATTCCTCCTCATTAGAGTCATATCCCGCGGGGTATACTCTGAAAATCAAAAGGGAGCTATTACTTCCAACCAGTCTCGTGCGGTTGCAGTTATTGTCTTGGGTTTCATCATCTGGACAGGAGTAAGTTGAATGAATGTAGATCTAATACATATAGCTAACCCTGTCTAGACCAGCGCCCCTCTGATGCTGAGCATTGGGCCAATGCCTATAGTTCTACGAACGACTGTGCCCGCGGTCGGTCTCTTGATCTTGATTGGTATGTATGAACCCGTAAACCAAAGAACTAAACTGACTCTATAGGTCTTCTCACTTCCTTCCATCATCGGTTGTTTCGCGAAACACCCAAACCCGTTCAATCGCCAAATGTGTCCGACTTTGATGCTTCGCGGGGCTTTGATACCCGACAGATGTACACTACCGAAATACAAGGCGGTTCCGATTATCGAGATGACTTCGCGACAACAACAAGGGGCGACTTTACAGGAATGTCAAAGCCTCTACCAGTTGCTACAGAATCCGAGCGACTACCTAATATTTCGATGCCTGCCGCTGGACAAGCGAATATTGGAATGGGTGGTGTTCCCGTGTTGGGTCAACTGTTCCCCCTGCCGAAAACTCAAGAACCGCCATTTCCTACAGAACCGATCCAAGTACAGCAAGCGATGACCGAGCAGACGATGGTGAATAGTTGGAGTTCAGGATCTAGCGTGGACGAAAGGGCAATGTTGGAGAATGGAGACAACCGAGCTGCTCCACGACTGGACTTGGGCGAAACTGCGAAACCATCAACAGAACCCGAAATCGCAGCCACCACATCAGCTTTCCTGTCGCCTGGGATGGAGGGAGTTCGCCGACGCTCACCCCGACAATCACCTCAGCAGTCCCCTCAACAGTCTCCCCGACAGTCGCCCCAACGTCTCCTATCGCCAGCTTTCTCTCTCTTCCCACGCTCTCCTCGTTCGGTCTCGACTCCAGTGAAATCTCAGGCACAAACTCCTAAAACCACGGAAGAGAACATCGTCAACTTTTCTCTGCCTGTGAAGGCACAGGCATTGCATCCGAATCACTCGGTGAAGCACCAGGCCCCCAAGTCCGCACCGTTGGCTGCCATACCTAGGAGTAACGCGAAGGAAATCCTGAGTAAGAGGGAAGATTCTGCACGAACCCTTTCTGTGGTTCACAGACCCCGACCCATCCCCAGGAAATCGAACATTGACCGTGCTCTTTTCCCAACTGGAGGATCTCCAAATCTCCAGAACCACAAGCGGTCGTTATCGCTCGGCGCCGATCGATCCAGGCAGCCACTCGACACACCGGCAGCTATCGATTATGATCTATCTCGACTCAATGAGTTTGCTAATGTCCTTGCGGCCAATGTACCAACACAGAATGATACAACAAGCAACCGCAATACGAGGCGACGATCACGGTCGATGGGCTCGCTCCCGATACTAGCAGCTGACCTCGAACCGATGCCCCCGATGCCAAAGCTCAGCGAAGCCAAGCCAAAGATCGACCACGGCGACGCGTCGGCAACGTTCCTAAGGACGCCAGAAAGCCTCAACTCAGCCAAGACGCCTACACAATCTCGGGAGAGCGTTAAGACTACGACCATTAATCTACCTAGAGAGCCAGGATCAGAGACAAGCCCGTGTTGGAAACAAGACCTAGCGAGCAGGTACGGACGACGGTCGTCACCTATCCTACCAATTGAGGACTTGAGTGCGCTCACTCCTTCTACGGTTCGAGATGATGATATGACAATGGACATGGCTGATGTCCGCTCACCTGCGATGCAAGTTCACCTACAACGGGCATTGACGGTGACTGTTACGCCGAAAAGTCAACAGCGGAGCCGACTCGGTGTTGCGGATACCACATTGCCGTTCAGAGAGGAGAGCCACCAGACACCCCTGGCTAGGCACAAGCCATCTGCCAATGCTAATGTCGGAGTTGGATCGGAGCTGCGACGTGCCGAGGACCTTGAAGTCAAGGTGGGGGATGTGCGTCCAACATTTTCAGCAAGGGGATACTCGACGAGACTACGTCGGAGTGTGCCGCCAGCACCACTTGTTCTCCGCCGGCCTGACAACATGTATGTTGAGCCATCACCTGTAGAAACCGACGACAGTGTAAGCGTGGAGGAAGTTACTCAGAATTGTAAGTGAAGATGGCATTGATTGGGTGTGATAATGAGCAATTCTAACAACAAACAAGATTCTGCTTCTCCGCATGCATCTTATCAGATAACGGAGAATGATAGACTAGCGCTTTTGACAAACCTGGAACTGGAACTCAATCAGCAGGAACACCAATGGCAGACGATTCGCCATACCATGTTGGCGCGTGATTCGCTGTCTACAGTGGGATCGCCGCATAGCCGAGATTCGCGGTATGGGTATGGAAGTGCGCGCCAGTCAACTGTCCGTGGGTCAAGGCTCGTCCAGCGCGGTGAATTAGATGCGGACTACGATCTTCTCGCCCTGTTTCCTCAGACCGACCTGAAAGCCAACGCAAAGCGCATGCCTAGCTCTACCTACCCCAGGTTTACAGCCCCCTTAGGTACTCCTACCCCTCCAGACACTGATGAAGAGAGCGAATACGATGATGATGCTCTGGATGCTCTGATTGGTCAGGTTCAGAACACTCCTGCTAAGGAGGCCATGCTTCTTTGGCGCCCCACAATCTCCGCGGACGGTGTCGCTACCAGCACCACAACGCTGTCACTCTGGACCCCGGCTTCCAGACCTGCCGGAGATTTCGTGCTAGAGGAGATCCCAGGACCATCGAAACGTGGCCCCGTGAGGAAGGATCTGAAGCCGCTCGTAATTGGAAGTTCAAGACTGTGGGAGAAGTCTGAATCCAAGCCAACATCATCAGATAATGGACTATGGCAGCCAACATCTCAGGCTAAATCCCAAGTGTTGGAAGTTGAATCCCAGCAGCAGCAGGCAAAGCCAATCCGCAACCCCCCTCGACGCATCAGACGTGTCACATTGTTGCCAGATATTCTGGAGAGCCCCAAACCACTGCCTGATAAGCGCGGCACACTTGGGATTTTCCAGTTCCCATGGGGTGATCGATCAGATAGTGCGACAGTGAACCCCTGGCCATTGTCAACAATGAGCGTGTCTGAGATGATCTATCAGGCTGGTGCGCTTGATGGGGGTCAGAGCAACGTTTCGCAATTTGACATGGACGACTACGAGCAGGATGATGGAGACTATTACGATTCGAGCGAAACGTACGACAGCGACGACGAGGATATGTTTGAGCGCGTTGAGCCTGTATCTGTGGCCCAGTCAACGACGGATAAATGGCTCCAGGATGCCCCACAAGGTAAAACGCATGCATCTCACGAGGACGAAATAGAGTCTCGATCAGAGTCTGAGTATGGGTAAGTGTGAGCCTTGGCAGCTCTAATTACTATTATTTTGGGGAAAAAGTGAGGCTGATTAATTTTATTTACAGCGACGACATTAACTCTGGCTCAGAATCAGAAGCAGAAGCAGAACCCATGTTTTTGAAGCATTTCAAGAGCTTGGAGCATGAGCCAGTGACAAATGCAAGTGGGTGTGAAGAAGAAGAGCACAGCAGCAGCGGCAGCGGCGATGTGAACGATGACAAAGCCAATCAACGGACAAGTCTCCGCACACAAGTTGAGCACGACATTGAACAAACTGGAGATTGGACTATAAAAGCCGATACTAGCGCAGTTACCCCCACTACAACACCGACAATGACGCCTACGGATTTTGATCTCCGAGAGGGAAAAACTCGAATTAGGGTCCCAGACCGTCGGCAGCCGCAGCAGATTGCATCAATAAGCATGCCTGTGCCGCAGATGGCTCACTGCTTATTGATGGACATGGACCAAGCTTCACCTGGCGCACCAATCAGAGTCCTCAATTCTCCTCATGCGGATGAAGAGCCCTGCACTGACAGGGAGTCCAAGTCCCGTGGCGCTCCAAGCGCAGGGCACCCGTCAGCGCCTGTGCTTCTGTTCCGCTTCTTGGAGGGTTCCATTCCAATTTCTAAGCCTGAAAATCAAAGTTACGACGCTGTCTCTCCGAGCCCGCTTCAGCCAAATCCGCTCGTCATCTACAAATCCGAGACCCCGACAGGCCGACAGCAGACCTTGGTTATTAACTTGGAATATCCTGAGCCATCCTCTTCTTCTCTTCCTTCTCAATTTTCATCCCTCCAACAATCAACAACAGCTACAACCAAATCTTCCATGGCTCTTTGGACTCCCAGTACTCCCGTCACTCGTCCCAACCAAGGACTTCCTCAACCCGACAGTGCCACTTGGAACTCATA